TGAACCATAGTTTAATGAACAATAGCCATCAATTGTTTTTCATCAAAATTAGTAGTTCCCTGATTTTTTATATTCACCAAATGTATTTATTACATATAAAAAATAAATTTTGGAATGCATTTAGGTTTACAGAAAAGTTACAAAGATAACAAAGAGTTCCTGTATAGCATGTACCAAGTTTCTGTTATTGTTAACATCTTACATTACTATGGTACATTTGTTTCAACAAAGAAATCAACTTTGCTAAATTTACTATTAACTGAACCCCAGACTTTATTACATGTCTAGTTACTACATGTCTTGTTTCTCATAACCTTGACAGTTTTAAGGAGTGCTCATCAGGTATTTTGTGAAATGTTCCTCAATTTGAGGTTGTCTAATATTTTTCTCAAGCATAGACTGGTGTTATGTGTTTTGGAGAAGAATAACACAGGTGTAAGCCTGTCTCACCACCTCGTACCAGGGGGACACGCTTATCACTGATGACATGAATCATAATCACCTGGCCCAGGGAGTGTATGCTAATTTCTCCACTGTCAAGTCCTTACTCCTCACCATATTCTAGTCTTTGTAAGTAAATCACTAAGTCCTCTCAAGGGGAAGGGTAGAAGGGAGAAGCCTTGCCTCCTGGAGGGGGAAGTACCTACATAAATTATACAAATTATTCTGTAAGGAAAGTCAATCTCCTTACCCTTGTCCTTTTGATATACCTCCATTCTTTTTTGGTTTTCAAGCAATTCCTATAACCCCCTAATCTTCAAACAAATATTTCTGGTGGTGTTCATATTATCATTGTCTGAAAACTGCCTTTCAAACATGAAAATGAGACCACTGTTTTCAAATGCAAAGTTACTACGAAATGGGCTTTATTATCATAGGACAACATAAAACAACATGTACCTAACAAGTTTTCAGTCATGGCCACATGCTAGAAATAAAAATAACAATTTAAAGTGAATAAAAATTGAATAAAGAACTCAACATTTGCTGAATAAAAACTAAGAAAAATAGTTTTACCGCTTTTTGTTCCACTTGTACTAATTGATATTCTTCCTTGTGCTGATAAAAGCAGATGCAAACCCCTGTCCTTCCAGCTCTACCTGTCCGCCCAGAACGATGAATGTAGGACTCTACATCCTATTGAAGTAAATAAAATACATGAGTGACACTGAGCAACGAAAAGACATCAACACCTGAGCAGCTATGCAGGTCAGTGAACACTAACAAATGTGGTTATGTATCTGGAGGCACAAGGTAGGAGGTCCCTTAGCACTTCAATTTAAATTAAAGACCTGTGGCAATTTTTAAAACCTCTACAGTGGCCCCTCATCCTATAGGCAAATTTGCAAAGAACATTATCCAAATAGTGCTTGTTCACTAGAGGTAAATATGTAATTCCAATTATCAAATTTCTGGTAGCCACACTAAAAAGCTGAAAAAGTTAAATTAATCTTAACAATATACATATTTTATTTAATTCAATACAGCCAAGTCTCATCATTTCATTATACTACCTCTATATAAGACAAGTCTCTGAGATATTTTATATTTTTATAAGTCTTCAAAATCCAGAGTGCATAATAAAAAGTTAAATCCAATGTGTATTTTACACTCGCAGTACATACATCAATTCAGACTACCTACATTTCAAATGCTCAACATACATGTGGCTAGTGGCTACAAAACTGGACAGCACAAGTCTACAGGCTCATGAAACAATGTCCATGTCACATGTGTATGGGACTTCCTTTTTAAGAATTGGTGAATTCAGGCCAGGGCAGTGGCTCACGCCTGTAATCCTAGCACTTTGGGAGGCCGAGATGGGAGGACCAATTGAGGCCAGGAGTTCAAGACCAGGCTGGGACATAGCAAGACCCTGGCTCTACAAAAATAATAATAAAAAAATCAGCTGGGTGTGGTGGCATGTGCCTGTAGTCCCAGCTACTTGGGAGGCTGTGGCAGGAGGATCACTTGAGCCCAGGAGTTTGAGGTCACAGTGAGCTATGACGATGCCACTGCCCTCCCCAGTCTGAGCAACAGAGTGAGATCCTGTCTAAAAAAAGGAAAAAAAAAAAAGAAAAAGAAAAAAAAAAAAAGAACTGATGAATTCATAGTCATGAGGTATTTTTCCTGTTATTGTAAGCAACCTTTAATTGTGAGGGATCTGCCAATTCGAGGGGAGGTTACAAGGTCTTCATGCTGGAAGTAACTGGAACAGCTCCTTTAGAATAACTTTTATTTATGTGAAGCACTATTCATACCACGGTGACAATGCTTCAGGGTCCTTCCCAATAAATTCCCATAATCCATGAACCTAAGCATCTTTAACCACAGAGGTTGTTTTTCTTTTTTCCCAGTGAAGCTATCCTTCAAAAGAAGTTGTTAATTACAGGTCTATTCTCTTTTGCCCACTAGCTCAGGCAGTTATATCTATTTTAGCCTCACCCCACATCGTTTCTTATACCCACCTTCAAGGTGCATCTCAAAATTGCACCAGTTACCACCATAAGCTATCTTTCCAACCTCTGGCCACTGACTGTACTTCTACCCAATTCTCAGTGCTGAGAATTATAATTTTTATCATTTTAATTACATGCATTTTTAAATCACCCTTAGCATCCTAGCATTTCAGAGGTAGCTGTTATTAATCATATGCAAATAAACAATACAATCTCTAATCTGTTTTAATACCCAAAAGAAACAAACCAAATAAAATCTAAGCATAAAACACATACCTTTGGTGGACAGCTTTGTACAACCAAATCAACCTCAGGGATGTCTAACCCACGCGCAGCAACATTGGTTGCCACCAAAACTCCAAAAGCACCATTTCTGAAACCTTTCAGGGTGATTTCCCTTTGCTTCTGTGGAATGTCTCCATGTAATGACTGCGCATCCTGCCAAATAAATAAACTGACCTAAAACACCAGTTCCAACAACAAAAGTGTTTTTTATCGTCATCCATTAGGCCTGTAAGAGATATTCATATTTTGGTGATTTTCCTGCAAAAATATTACAAAACGGAAAACATATACCTTAAATGGACAAACCTCAAAATTATTTCCAAATTCTCAGTCGTTAAATCCAACTGGATCCAATTATACGTACTGAAGTTAAAAATATCAGACAAAGCTGGGCGCGGTGGCTCACACCTGTAATCCTAGCACTCTGGGAGGCCGAGGTGGGTGGACCGCTCAAGGTCAGGGGTTC